AGAGAGACAGAGAGACAGAGAGAGAGAGAGACAGAGAGAGAGAGAGAGACATCATAGAAAGACAGACAGCAGGGACAGGGACAGAGGAAGAGAGACAGAGAGAACAGGCACAGACATTTAAAAAAAGAGAGGTAGAGATAGAGACCATAAAGAAAAGGGGGGGGGGGTTCAAGAAAAACAGACCAAACTCGGCGAGAATAGACACCTCGATTTCTACGCTGTTCTGTCCCTTGCAAATCCCTCCCCGCGCATTTGGTACCCTGGGGTATCTGTCTCTCCACAGGTTGCAACTACCACCAGCCTCTTCACTAGTTTTGACAAAATCCCTTGCACTGTCAGACACCAATCGCTCTGAGGAGCTTTGCCCTCCCTTCTGTCCCGGGGTGTCATACAGAAGGAACACAGTTTCCCCTCCCTCCATCTACAGCTCAGAACGGTTGGTCTGGACATTCTGAGGCTGGGGTCGACTGCACTCAAGGACGTGGTTTTTCCGATGGGAGTTTGCATCGCACAAAAACATAAAGGGTGCGATGGCTCCCCCCCCCAAAAAAAAACAGCCAAAAGGGAAGCCAAGCCCAAGTCACGCAGAGCCCCAGACCCCGCACCACCGGCTGCGGGAGGGAGAAGTCCTCTCCGGCGCCCCAACGCCCGAAGAGGTGCTGCCAAAGCTGCAGGACCTTCCTCCCCCCCATACAAGTCAATTCCACCGCAGGTGCAAAGGCTCACCCCCCCCCCTTCCTTCTCCCTCCCCTCAAACGCCTGCCCCTCATCCAGCCTTCTCCTGAGGGTTAGAGTACGGGGAGCAGGAGCTGGGGGGAGGTCATCGGGTCTCTTTGAATGCAGCCGAACAAAAACTTTTAAAATGTCTGGGATATTTTTTTATGCAAGAAATGCCCCAATAGAAATGGGGAAAACACCCAAGTTAAAAAACGAAAACAAACAAACAAAAAAAAAAAACATTCCTTTCTCTTTAAAAAAAACCCGGCCATGAAAGGAAATCGACACGACACTTCATCTGGGTGCATGACAAAACCAAAGGAGTTTGCTTGCACATTTTTTCCCCCAAATCTCTGCTCTGCCCGGTGTCACTTAATCTAATCTCCACGGCTGAGGCTGGTGGAAGACGGCCAGGCAGCCCGGGCAGGCAGAGAGGGAGGAGGGCGCAGGCAGACCCAGCCAGCAGCTCTCCTTCCTGAGTTACGGAGGAGAAGAGAGAGAAGGCAGGAAGAGGAGAGAGAGACAGAGAGAGAGAAAGAGACAGAGAGACAGAGAGGGAGAGACAGAGAGAGAGAGAGAAAGAGAGAGAGAGAAGGAGAGAAAGAGAGAGAGAGAGAGAGAGAGAGAGAGAGAAAGAGAGAGAGAAAGAGGAGGGAAGGAGGGACCAGGAAAGGGGGCAGGGAACCGCGCGGGCCAGGGAGGGGAGGAAGGCGGCCCGGGAGCCTGCGGAAGGGAGAAGGAGCCAGGGAGAAAGAGGGCAGTTTGCTGCAGACCCAAATCCAAGGGGGAAGGAGAGGAATGGAGGAGAGATTACAGCCCCGTGCAAAAAGCCACACAAATCCAGTAACACCACAAGCCCCAAGGAAAACAGCAGCAGCAGAGGCAGCGGCAGCGGCAGCGGCAGCGGCAGCGGCAGCCCAGCGTGTACTATCTGCCCGGCTCGTGGCAGACACCCTACAGACAGACGTTCGCAAATCACCCCCAAAACAACACCTCGTCCTCTCTCCTCTCACCTCCCCGCCGGCCCCCCTCCCCTCTCGCCTCTCCTAGACTCTCCCCCAAGGCTTCTACGAAGACCAAAACAACGGGGGGAGGGGGGGAGAGAGGAAAAACCACCCGATCCACTCCAAGAGCAAAAGAAAACAGAAAGAAAGAAATATATAAATATATATATATATATAAATATATAAATCTACATCCTAGAGCGGGAGAGAAATGGGACTAATCGTCTGCATTTATTTTAACACCTGACAAAGAAAAAGAAATAAATATATATTTATATATCAATAAATATACATCGGAAACTTGGAGCCAAAGCATTTGGCAAGAGCAAAAAACAACGAAAAAAAAAACCAAAACGAACAAAAAACAAAAGGCATTAATT